TGTACGCTTCGTAGCCGCGCCTCGGCCCCGCCACGTTCCCTGTGAAAACCCCCTTGCGGCTCCCGGCAAACGCTGGCTGCGCAGCCTGGTTATTCGCCGTCCTCCGCCTAGACCTCTCCACGTAAGACGGGCACGGTTGGTGATGAAGCTTTGAGTCATATCCCCCTCCGTATGCGATATCTTTATTTTTAAGCTGTTCTGCCTGGTCCAGACAAAAGTTAAGTTATGGTATCGCTGCATCATAATTGGCGTTGTCTTTTGCTAACGGCTAGGTCTGCTAACAAAGTTTTACTTTCACCAGCGAATTGGTTTGAGCATAGTTAACTGCGGCTCGGGGCTCCCTATGGCGTGCCAGAATGTTTCTTTGCTGTTCTTGTGCAGGTTTATTAGAATTGCTGTCGCCAGATTTTCTGTCCTCTTCTGCTTTGATCCCAGGAAACCTTTGATCATCCGAGTCTCTGGACAAATCTTACGGAGAGACTGCTAAGTCATATCTCACTCTGTCCTCACGGAGACCCGGTTTGCCCTAAAAAAAGGGAGGGACTTCCTAACAATCTGCTTGTTATCTTCTAAAAACAAGCACCCGGCGGTCACCTTGCTTTGAATAGCAGTGTGGCTACGTTAGCAGGTCTCCTTCGATGCATTCACGAATCAGCGTTTATTGATGGTAAATACTTGGCTCACGTAACTATTGTATCACCCTGTTACGTATATGTGGCTTTATAACCTCAGAAGGTATTTAAGAGAAGATTGCTTATATGGGAAAAGTTAAGGGCAGAGCATTCCTTGGAAAGCTGCCTTTTTCGATCTTCACATCAGTAAAACTCAGTACAGGTCTAGGGTTGCTGTCGTTCCCTAGGGAACGAAGCAAAACTTGCAAGTGCGGTGCATGCAGGAAGCCTTCCTTGAGGATCCTGCGTGCGCGGGCGAGTGTGAGAGGGACGTTATCTAAATTGTCAGTAAACAAATCTCAGGGGAGTGACCTCTGCCGTTGAAATGACAAGTAGTTTGTGAATTGGAAGGAGGTATTCTGGTAGACGTGGATGCTGCTGAAGTACGGTTCAGTTAGATGCTTGATTTAGAAATCAGTTTCTTTAGTAGTGATGTTTGTCTCATTAATTTTGTGCTGTCCTGCCTCTGGACGTACCTGACAATGAAATGGATGCATTTACTTCATTCAAATACTCTAAACGAACCGTAGAGCTTTAATGAGATGTTTAATAGGAGAAATGTTTTAGTGACTAGTTAATAATTGCACGTGTAGATTTCCTGAGGGAAGGGGATTTTCAGGGGGATGCGAATTCCTCAGGAAATGCTGAGAATCAAAACGCGCAAACTTTTATATCAAAAACCTAGACAGTGATTAGCTTACATTTGTCTTTTAGGAAGACGCTTTCTTGCAGTCAGCAACCTCCTGTGTCGCTAGTCCGTGTCCGTGGATGAACAGGAGGTGAAGCAAACCTAGAGAGCAACATCAGGTACCTGTTGATGAACATCAAAACACAGGTTAAACAACCTTATTAATGCTCAGTCTCTTCATTTTATTATTATGCATCTTATTCTCTAGAATCCTGAGTTAATGATGGGCTAAGAAGTTGCATTCTAAACCTCGCAGTTTAGGAGATTGTCTTGTGTGGAAAGTGGCAATGGAAAAGGAGGTTATAATTTATTCGTTAGTAGATGATAGTCTGCTGAAACTAGATTGCTGTTACATTCATGAAGAGAACAGAATCTCTCGTGTGTTTTTTTTTTTTCCTATACCTTGTTGTCATGTTAAAGGAGGTGAGTTATGAAAGAGGAAGAATGGTTTTTTCCCAAACCCGTGCTCCTGTGAGGAGGAGGAGGACCTTTCTGGTACAGTGCAGACGGATGTCCTTACCCAAAACGCCTTCTGTGGGACCATGATTCTGGTGTACTTGACGGATGAGAAGGCAGTGTAAACAGTAGGATTTCTAGTCTTTCTACTCTGCGCTTTGTTGAGTCGTTGCTTTTATAACGTCGGTTTATGGTTAATCCATCCTGTACGCTGCTTGAAGATTGGCCGTGAAAGCATTCTAGTTGGTGTTGCTGTGCGTTTTTTCTGTGCGGGAAAGGGAACTGGAAGATAAGCGGTAAATGCACAACGTAATACGTGGATAGATACGTGCGTATCAGGTAGATGTGTGGCTGGCAGGGCAGAGCGTGATGCAGCGGGCAGGAAAACTTCCGCTTGTGTTTTCTTTGTCCAGTGAGAAAGCTAGATTTGTACGTTTTGCAGGAAGTGACAGAGCTACACAGAGAGCCTGTAAGATGCCTGAAGCTCCTGTCACTGTATGCAGCCGGGTCTGATCTGCTTTTGCAGTTGAAGGTGATTAAAAGACTCCGGAGCTTTGTTGTGAGCAGTAGCCGGGGTATTGCCGTAGCGCACGCGGGCCAATGAGAGCAGGGATTTCAGGGCACGCTTCTGCGGATGGCCTATTGCCGTTGAATGGGTGGAACAGCAGCCACCCAAATTCACACAGCAAATAACATTTTGCTGCAAAAGCGTGGCGGAGCCAATCGAGCACCGCGCTGCGCAGCCAATGCGCGCTGGCCTTTTATCCAGCCACTGGCAGGGGCTCCGTCACGGTAGGACCTTGGTACAGCTCTGCAAACTGCATTCCTTCAGATACAGTCCTCTTTGAGCTTGCCTGTCAGCACAGTACTCATCCTTGTTGTGACTCATTTCCCAGTAATAACAATGCCATTGTAAATTATCTGTGCGATGCAGGGGAGCTGCATGCCTTTGCTGGCCACGTGATCATCTGCAGCTGGTGGGGAGAGCGCCTAAATAATTTAGGTCTTGTTTCCTATTTAGCATTGCCACGGCTGCCTATCCAGCAGACCTGCTTACGAGAGCCAGAGGGATGGTGGTAGTTACAGGGCAGAACAAAGTGAGTGGAAACCCGGATGATGCCATGTCGAGCTCAGATGCAGAGGATGATTTCCAAGAGCCAGCCACTCCTACCGCAACCCAGGCAGGACAGTCGCTACCTCTGCTGCCTCAGCAGGTAAGAGCTCCGTGGTGTTGTTCCTCTGATAAGATGCAGTTGTTGCACCACGTACTGCTCAGGTGCCAAAGGATTCGGGATTTCTTTGTTGGAGTATTCATGGGTATCCAGTTCAATTTCCATTACTAGCTGAATTGCCCCAGTTCCTTGTATTCTTAGTATTCTTTTATTGTTATTCTTAGTATGCCTTCAGTACTAAGTTCCATGTATTTTACTTTGGTAGCCTAAGCTAGACGTATACAGCAAGTGTTTGTTCTGGTACTGAAGCATCTTAAGGTGTGGTATTAAGATTTTAGGCCTGCTATAAGCCTACTGTAATTACAGAATCACTCTTTTTCAACATGCACGCTAGTGCGTAAAGGGACCAGTGGAGCAGCAACTGAGCGTAAGTCAGTAAGGTGTTAATCCCTTGAACCTCACTGTTTTTTGGCAACAGGCCGGGAAAGAGGCATTTGTTGGAGCAAATTATGTCACAGTGGCAAAAATTATCTAGAAGTGTCAAGGTGAACAAACTTAAGCTATAAAATGACTGTGCTTCTTCTGTAACTGTTGCTGCCTCTGCTGGTGTTGCGTCATTCAGGTTGGGAGCTTCTCTGCCTTCTCAAATCGTCTTGTCGCAATTTCAGTCAGGCTTTTACTGTTATTTTTGGAGAGGGAAAAACAAAACATTGGCAGACTCTTCTCTTTGGCACTGCCATTCCTCTGACTCCCTTACCAGTCTTAGCAAAAGTACTGCTGAGATTGCCTTCTGTGCCTGCCCTGTTTCCACCCCTCCTAGTCTTTCCAGCCTTTCTGCATTTGCTTCAGAAACATTGTCTCCAGATAAGCACAATCTTGCATACTGTGCTCACTTCTTTCTGTCAAATGCTGTCGTCTGGTTTCAAACTAATAAAAAACCTCAAACATCAAGACATGTGAAGGCTCTTTGGTTAATGCTTCATTTTACACAGCAGCCCTATAATTGAGTGAATTTCCGTGTTTTCGGAAGATCTGCTGGTCGATTGTTCCTCTGCTTTTAATGAAGGCTACTAACCATGCCTTGTTGCTAAATCTCATTTGTAATTTTATCCTATGCCTTCTGGAAGTGCTAATCATGTTGGCCTATACGTGTTTGCGAAGCACTGCAACAGGCTCATTTCTGATGATGTGATTACTTTTTCAGTTTCCGGAAGTTGTTCCGCTAAACGTAGGAGGCATGTGTTTCACAACAAGACTGTCAACGCTGAGACGTTATGAGGACACAATGTTGGCGGCTATGTTCAGCGGAAGACACTATATTCCCACAGATGCTGAAGGCAGATACTTTATTGACAGAGATGGAACTTACTTTGGGTAGGTGCAGTGTCCTCGGTAGTATGCTTTCAAAGTGGTTACTGAAGAAAACGTTTTCCTTTAAAAAGGAATTTACCTTTTTTCTTCTTCTAGTTAAATCATGTTTGTGTGGTAGCTTTTATGAAAACTTGACTGATTTGCATCCGTGCCTTCAAAATATCTCAAAGGGAAAATCAGTTACAGTATATCACAGTTGAAAAACTATTTATTTCATTCCTAATGGCGTAAGCTTTATCACGGGGAAAGAGAGACAAGCTGTGTTTTGAATCTGTGCACTGTCTCCTCTAGAGTATCCTTAAAAGGTATCAAGTTGTTTTGCTGTTTTTAAGAAAGGACATATTTAACATTACTTTTCATAGGAAGCTGTTTTGTATGTCATTGCTTTTTTGTTAACATTAACAGTATTTATGGGAAAGAGGGAATGGAAGGGATGCATCTAGGCTTCTTTGCAAACTTTGTTCTTCCAATTGTTAGTTTTTAGTGTTTAATGGAACGTTGATGGATGTCAGTTCAAGTTCAGTTGTGCAGTTGTATGTGTTAAGAAAATAGATTGTCCAGAAATCATCTAATTTGGAAGCCTGACTTTGATTTGAAGTAGTCTCTCCTGCTAAAATCATAATCATTAGAGGAGTACTTTGATAAATTCCCATTTTATTAGAATCTTTTTCACATTGTGTCTTTTAGTCGTATTTTCAGTTGTCTAGAATTCATATCGTATATTTGAATTTAGTTAAATGTACGTTCTGCTGAACAGTTTAACACCTCTTGCTGTGTAATACAACTCACTTTGAACAGTTAATCTCACTCGTACATACTGATTTTCTCTGAAGAGAATTTGTGATGAGAAGTTTTGTTTGGCTTTAATTACTGCATTTCTGAAATGATGTTTATATAAAAAATTGAGTGCTAACTCAAAATCCCTGCTTCCAGTGGGTTTTAACTTTCCAAGAAGAGAAGTTCATCAAAATATGTATGCTTTTTGGTAAGTGAATTACTTAACCTCTGGAGCACTGCGAAAATAAATTATATTAAAATGTAACTGGAAGAAAAGCACAAGACTTGAAGAATTTCTTTTAAATTATTTTTGCTGGCAGTGCCATGTTCCTTCATCTTCAGGACTCCTTCTGAAGCTTTCAAGTACACGTGTAGCTTTCTTTTTATTTTCAATTAAATTAATCGTGGTCCTACTAATACTCTATTTGACTTGGTGTGAGTTTGCTAGAATAGGTATGCATCATGTCCTGTAATGTTTATAGGTTAAGGTCTTCACCCAAAGGACACTTTACATACCACTTTTATTTCTTTTTTGTTTTTTCCCTTTTAGAGGTTCCCTTAATCTCTTCAACTGAGGAGGACTGCATTATTTTCAAAGCTCATTCAGATTGTACCTTAATCTGGAGCAGAAATAGATTAAACCACTATATGTATTTGAAAATAATTGTGTCTTTACATTTGGAAATTTGGAAGTGCCAGCTGCTTTGTTGGAAAATCAATTCACTCGTGATGTTATCAGTCTGAATCCAAAATATAACAGGAATCTAGAGCCAAGTTACCTCTTGGTATATTTGTTGATATTATAATGAAAGTTGCTGTAATGTTTGTTTTACTCGATAAGGTCAGTAATAGATTTTGTTGGTTAATGCTCAGAAAGTGATTTATTTCCCTGTTAAAAATCTTATAACTTAAATGGTTCCAGAACTACATCACAAGGAAATGATCTTTTTTTTTTTTTTTTTAAGTTATATAAGAATACGTGGCCCCGATCCTACGATGAGAACACGTTTTTTTGTAAATAACACCATCCGTTCAGTTAGGATCCTGGATCTGGGTGGGATAAAAGGTCTTTGCGTATAATTCTCCAGGCAAATCAAAACAGTTTAGTTTGTCACAGACATGAGTTTGAAATACAGTGACTTCAGTCTTTCCCATGGAAGATTATCTGTGTTCTATTTCTAGTGGTTACTCTGCCTTGAGCTTCTTATTAAAAATGTTTTGGTGGGTGGGTTTTTTTTTTTTTTTTTTGAAATAAGTTCTGACGTTATCAGAGTCACGGTGAGAATGTCTTGAATTGGAGACTTGACAGGAACAAATGCTTTAAGAATACATGCTGGCAATATAGTTTGCAATTCTCTCGGTTACTGTCTAATGTTAAGGATATATATCTGAAGAGAGTAAACAATGAATATGCAGTATTTTCTGTGCTTCCCCACCTGCAACAGTTTTTGGAGAAACTTTATGCTTAGTAGTATTTTTCCCCTTTTGTTTAGAGACATACTTAACTTTCTGCGATCTGGTGACCTGCCACCAAGAGAACGAGTGAGGTCAGTTTACAAGGAAGCTCAGTATTATTCCATAGGACCGCTGCTAGACAGTCTAGAGGATGTCCAGCCCCTTAAAGGAGAAAAAGTTAGACAAGCTTTCCTCGGCCTAATGCCATATTACAAAGGTAAATAAATTAAGTAGTATTGATTGTATTTCTTGTAGCATGACTCGAGTAATATAAATAGTGCTTCCAGCACCACTTTCAGCTTTCAAACAAATGTCGTGGTATTTAAGAAGTTTCTTTCTTACTCACCTTTCATGTGCTAACTCTTTAGATCTCTGAGGTCTCCGGGTCAGATTTGTTCTTGCTGTGTCTGAGGATGTGAATTTTTACACTGTATTAAAGGGACTAGGATCTGGGCTATAACATGCAAGGCTGCTTATTGAATAGGAAAGTTTCTCTGTCTCTGCATTTGTTCTGTTCAGACCTGCAACTGAATAAATTTGGGCATATAGTAAGAACATCAAGTTCACAAGATAGCTGAAATGGATTTCGTTATTACAGATTGTGTCTGGCTGCGTGCAGCTTCCCGTTGCTGCTTCCGTTGTATTAAGAATGGCTTGTTAAACGCTGCAGCAACTTTTTATGTGAACGAATTGCGTTTGTTTTCTCTTACAAGGTGCTTCGTTGTTATTTTCAACGTTTATTGTTTTTTAGATCATTTGGAACGGATAATCGAAATAGCAAAGCTTAGAGCTATGCAAAGAAAAGCGAGATTTGCAAAACTGAAGGTTTGTGTCTTCAAAGAAGAGATGCCCATCACTCCCTATGAATGCCCACATTTCAACTCTTTACGTTTTGAAAGAAGTGAAAGTGAGACAAAGCTGTTTGAACATCATTGCGAAGTAGATGTATCTTTTGGCCCCTGGGAGGCTGTGGCTGATGTGTATGATCTACTGCACTGTATTGTGACAGACCTGTCTGATAGAGGGATAACTGTGGATCATCAGTGCATTGGCGTGTGTGATAAACACCTGATAAATCACTATTACTGCAAGCGTCCTATTTATGAATTCAAGATTACCTGGTGGTGAGTTGTTTTGTGCAGAATGGTGCAGGGGGAAAAAAAAGACTTCTGGATGACAATTGCTGTTAATATTTCTGCAACGTGTCTCTGGAAACGCATTGCTGCTAACGTACGTATTGGAATCAGTCTGCTGAAGCGTTGGCTAATGCTTAGCTGCTCAGCAAATGGGAACCTGTTACAGAGCAAGATCTGGAAAACCAGCCTGAAACAAGACTAGTTGGCTCAGGTACCTTAACGAGGCACAAAACAAAATCACCTCATGGAAATTATACGGAGAGGAGCGTCTGACACCTTTTAAAAGGTGCCGCTTACCATGTGGCTTTAGTATCATAAGTCTGCAAAATGGGTATTACAGATCTCACCTGCGTTATTATAAAGCCATGGGTGCTAATAATGCTGACGTAATGTGGTTTAATTTTACCCACTCAGAAATATTTTAGTCACTGCTTAAACTTGCCACTTCATAAAGTTGAGTGAGTAACACCCAGCACGGAGATTCTGGAAATGTAATTTTGAAATAATAGACCATTTTTTGGAAAAAGGCTTATATATTACTCTTTGTTGTGATTATTAAGCTATATTTCTTTTTTAATTAGGAATCTGCATTGTGAATTATAATGTTATATTTCAATTGTTTCCATTCTTATAAAAAGGAATAGCAGATTTGGAATATATTCCTTAATGCTTTTAGGAGTAATTACTGTTCACAAAAGACTTGTGCCTGTTTTTAGCCTTAGAAATTCTAAATGTTTACAGTATCTACAAAAAAAGAAGCTCTGTAGAATCAGGTCATTGGCAAAGGCTTGTGGTGAATGAGAAAACCCTGTATGTATGTCCCTATTACCAAAATAAGAGGAATATTTAATGCGTATTATTTTGTTACTGGCTCTTTTTACATTTGGTGATACTAAACTTTGTTCTAGAGTTCGAGTTGAATGAGGATACTAGATAAGTGCTTCCTTCGCTTCCCCTTCTTCAGAAAATTAAGTCTCTTTCTTAATGTTTTTGTTGACTTTTCCTGGTGTTATTATCAGGAAGTATTTCTTTTCAACCTTCATATTTAAATGTTTCTCCAGTTTTCAGCCCTGTGTCTGGGCAGTAAGGTCTCTCCAGGCTGAAAGGGACAGCCAGTGGAGAATCGTATTCCTTTTCAAAAGGCAGTTGTCGCGCTTCTGACCTTAGTAAACATCTCCTAACTTGAATAGTTTACATCTAAAATGAAAAGATACATATGAGCATCTGAAGATATTACTGTTTTATGGGGTGCAGAAAACTCAGATATTTTCAAAATACTCCACTTGAAGTGAACTTGAAATAATCTTGGGGAAGGAGGGAAAGTAAATGTTATGTTTTGATATTGCATTCCATTGGATTAATTAGTCCAAGAAGCTTGCTTAATTAAACTGCTGACCAATACAGTTTAAGAAACATGTATTAATAATGATAATCAAAATTCTCAGTAAACTGAGGTAGTTTTTAGAATTGTCTTGCAAAAGTATTTTACGGAAGATAACTGTTTGCGTTGATTAACCTTCATACTTTTATGTTTTTAATTTAGGATCTTTTTAGTAAACTGTTTTTCTGAGGTGGGGACACATACCTCTAATTATCCATTTTCAAATGTCTTATAATAGAGGATCATTGTCAAGTGCTGAGTTTCAGATCCAGAGCTTAGATTTTGAACTGAGAGGAGGGAAGGGAAATAACAGTTGCCTGTATTACGATTTTTCGTTAAAAGTTGGTTGAAACTATTTTCTTAAATATTGGCCTTTGCACGTTACTCCTATAAGTCACTGCACTTGTATTTGACAACCTGAAACAAGAACTGAAATTAATAACATTTCCCTAAAGTGAGAGGAAGCTTGCGTGTGTTCTTCACTTTTGTGCTGGCTTCTTTTTCCAGGGAATCTTACATTGTAAGCCACACTTTCTAATAAAATGGCATAAGATCTTAAAGCTGAGGCTTAGAAAGCGTTGGCTGCATGGACTCCTGAGAGTACAAGTTCAAGGTCTTCAGTGTCAGTTTATTTAGAGGCTACAGCGAGAACTGCAATTTTGCTTGGTTATGGAGTGCTTTTTGCCGTTTCCCATATAAGTATAACTCTGGTTTGAATATCAGCACTACTTACAGAAATGGAACACAGTTTGACTTTGTCTTTTTGGGTTTGGCTTTAATAATTTTTCAGCCGTTCTCCTAGAGAAGCTACACTAGCAAAATTGCTGTTTCCGATCACGTTTGCAATTTCTTAACATTCATGCACTGATATTTTATAACTTTTTCCTGTTTATTACTTAAAAACCAAAACAAGTAAGGAAGAATATCTAATCCAAAAGATGAAAATTAAAATCTTGGCCTGTATCAGTTGCATCTTAATTGAAACTTTCATTCTTCAGATTCTCCAGAAGACAGGAAACATTAAGTGCAATATTAAAAAAGAAAACACAGATGTGAGCCAACAGGCTTTCATTAAACACATACAGTCTGTGTCTTGTGATTTGTGCAAGTTAACAATATTGTTATTGACTACACTTGTTTTAAGCAGTCTTTGTTTACAGTGATTTAGATGATATTGCCTAATATGTATTCGTTTTTTGACAGAAACAGAAGAGTTGTGCAGGAGGATGTCAGGGGAATATAATAACTGGTTTATGTAACATTATTGACTTATCTTTTCTTGGCATATAGCATAATTTTTGAAATTCTTCGTTTGCAACGAAAATGTGAGTAGCTGATTACTAAATCCATGTTTAAGATGATTGATGTTTTTGTATATCATGAATGCTATATGATTGTCTAATTAAACTAAATGCTTATGTAATACTGCTTTTTTTTTTCTTTACTTTGGGATGTTTCTTCATGTCTACTTAGGCCAGAGACTTGCTAGAACATTCCTACCTATTTCTCTATGCTGCTCTTATTTGATTTTTCCACAACTTTAATATCTACATAACTGCTTTTCCACCACCACCCCTAAATCCTGTGCGAGCTGATACCATGCTCTTGGACAAATTGGTCATGCAGTAAATGGTTTCATGTCATCAGTATAATTTTGATATGACTGTTGTGTACAGATTATCGAAAAGACAATACATGTCAGTCCATTTAGCTTATTCAACTTGAAGGAGAGATACTTCTCAGTTAGCTTTCTGGGACAGGATGCATGCCATTTTTGGTTCCTAAATGATGTACAGAAACATGCATATAATAAGCAACTTCCCCCCCCCCGATTCCCCCCAAATAAAAATTCTCAAATATTTTCAAAGCACAAATTGCATATCTGGATTGCAGTGATTTCTCTGCGTTTTTTTTTTTTTTGAATAACGGGGTAATGGTGGGACAGTTGAGGGGTAATTATTTGAAAAGTAGAACCGTTGGCTGTTTTTAGGTTGCTGCATGTCTAAACAGTTAACAAGACTCGTCTTGTAATGTCCCCTGTGTATGTAGTGGTTTTTAACATGGAGCGAAAAGAGATCCTTTTATCAGCTCTGACATTAAGTGACTTGGCCAGTTTCACTGCACATTAAGCATGTTTTTGCATTGGTTTGGCATTTGTAAAATGAGGATACCTACTCATTTTTGTAAAGCACTCAAGAAATGACATGAGAAGATCTTTATGTGCAGTGCTGTGTGTTCAACGTGTATGTAATGTGTCCACTTAATGTGTCCACTTAATGACTGTTGATTTCAAGAGTTACAAGAAAGGGCAACATTAGCTTTTCAACTTGGTGTGAGCTTCTTAACTTGAATACCACAATACTCTATACAGTGATCTGAGGTACTCGTTCCTGACTCTGCATTCTTGGAGGAGAGTGAAGGTGCTAGCGTCGTTTATCTGACAAGCCTTTGAGCCATTAGGAGATTCGCTCTTGTCTTCCTGGCGCATGTTTTCTTTTGAGGCTGCTCGATGTTTTTTGCAAGCCCGTTTTAACCCAAACCTGCAATCAGTGATCGGTCTCTGCACTGGTGAGGGGGCTTTTTTTTTTTTTTTTTTTAATTTAGTAATGTATTGACACCTACAATGTAGCGTATACGAATACATGAATTTGCTGGTATGGATATTTTTGTGATTTTGTTGTTGTTGTCCCGTTCTGTTACCCCTCCCGACCCCCTTCCCCCAAACTACCATGAGAGTTAAGGGAAAGTTCAGCATCAGGTGTCTGAAAAAGCCTCCTTGTTCTTTAGACACCCCCCCAACCCCGTCTGGTAAAAACACTTATCCCAGAGGTGTTCAATATATGGAAAGGCAAAGGCTATTACAGTTATAGGCGCTCTTACTTAACAATGAGTCCATTGAACGAGTTCGTACTCGATAATCCAACTGCAGCCTCCGTTCCGGCGCTCTGCTTAGATGAGTGTCACTTCAGCAGCGAAACGAAGTAGTCACGGGGTTGGATGTGGTTAGTACAAGTCCTTGAAAGGAAAAGTCAGAGACTTCTAGTTACAGGAGAAATGCACTGATTTGTGTAAGCACGTAATCGGCCTTTACTAAAGGGATTGTTAAAATTCCAGTAAACGCTGAAAGATGTCAAGATTTGCAACTGTTTTAAGTGTTTGCTATGTTAAACAGTAATACGTTCTGAGCCGAGTTGTTTCAATGCATGTATTGCACATCAGGGAAGCTGGCCAGTTCTCTTATTTATGTTTCCCGGTATATCTGTGTTTTTCTTGGTGAATCTTGAAGGCCGCTGAGGCTGCTGATCGCTGCCCCGCAGAAGTGAGTGTTTCAAGCGTATCCTGCGCATTAAGCGTGCGCCGTTTATTGCAAAAATGAAAGTGAGAGGGATTTAGTTCTGCAGTGTGTTTTCCCCAGGGATACTCCTCATCGGCCCCGAAGGAGGACTTCAGTGAGATCCTGCTCCACACCCCCCCCCATTTCCACTTTTCTGATGAAGTGTAAGTGGCAGAAGGAGATCAAGTGTCCGGCCTGAAGATTCGCAGTGAGATAATGACTCTTGAGTGGATTTCCTCTTGGTCCCTGCCCTTTGCTCTAACCCTTAAGAAGCATGGCTCTAAGGGCAGGAAGTTTACTACTACTGTCTGCTGCACCCTCAAATTTGTTTGCAAGGTGAACTGCCAGTCCGTTTTAACCTAAAGGGATTCTCTTTAGTATTACAAGCTAGTGACTGATAGTTGCTAAAGAATCAGTGAAATTCTCAGGACTGACAAAAATATCTGAATAAATTAATAAAAAAATGTATTTCATAATCCCATTAATTTCACTCTTCCATTTCATTTTTTACTAAAGAGTTAAAAAATTAAAACCTTAAGACTTCTTTTTGTTAAACAGAGATACATATTTAGGCTAGGCGCTTGTATTTTACGATTTTGAGGTTCTTGTTGATTGCTTGCTTAAGAGCTGGAGGATAACTGCATGAACTGCCTTCTGTGGTTCTCTCTTTTTTTGTTTTGTGTTTAAAGTTATCAGTATAGTAAATGGTCGTGATTTCCTAAGTCCATGGGGCATTACTGAATTAGCAAGCGCTGGGAACCTTCCTGCCCAATTTTATTTTCACTGCTCGTTCTTGTTTATAGATGACCCGGGACGGGTGACCTGATGGGAAAGATGACAGAAGTGCCAACAGGGCAAGTCTCATATCAGAGCTGATCGTTTGTATGGTACAGTGGTTTTTTGGTTTGTTTGTTTTATTTCAACTCTGGTGAGGTGTGAGGCAGAGGAACGTTCATCACCGCTTATCTGTGAGGTCAGTCAGAGGATCCAGTCTTTCTGGAAGCTGGACAGCCCAGCTGTCCTGGCCTGTGTTCATCCATTTCCCCACGTAAGTATTGTGATGTATCAAGTTAGGTGGCCTTGGATTGAACTGGGAAATACAGCAATGACTGGGGAGGTGGCTGCTGGGTCACCGTACTTGAATTTCAGCAGCAGTTGTTCAGAGGTTTGAGGACCTTTATGCCACCACTTGCAGAGTGGATGTTTCTTTTCTGCATGGCAATAGTAATTAAAGCTTGGGACACAGTTGCCCGGCAGACCAGACTGCCGAGCAAAGAATGTAGAAAGATCATTTCTGAACTCATCATAACCTGTGGGGCATGCTCTTTCTTTCATCATCCTCGTTTTAGGAGCTGTGGGCGGTCTGTAGACCCCGGTGGCTTTAAGTATTGATTGGCCTTACTGAGCCTTGGAGTTGCATTGATCTTTTTGGTTATTTATGGCTGCCCCATTGCATGTGTTTTAGGTTGTTCATGCACAGCAGAGGGGACCTAGGATAGTTCCGAGTTCTAGGCTATGGGAACATCATTTGATTTTAAAAAAATAAACCGTCCGGTTTTTCATTCTCTTTCTGCAAATAAGCTATGTTTCAGAGGATAATTACATTTTGTTATTTATTTCTGTGTATAGGTATCTTTACTGGAAGTTGCTTTCCAGAACAATTCTTAATCCTTTTACTTACACAAGTTTAGTATAAGTTTACCTATACTTTCACTGTGACTTTTATAAATGGATTTTATTTTGCTGAATTATAAATTGTATGTCTCTATGCATTGTTAGCCCTTAATGCCTTTGAAAATCCAGTCTGGATGCTAAGGATTGGAATTATCTCCAAATGTGTTTTATTTTAAATAAGTTGTTGTGTGATGTTTAATACTGTAGGTACGGTAGCATTTTATTTACTACATTTAGCTCTTCAGTTCAGGTAAAGTATATAATGATGTATTTTTATTTAAAATATATAGATGATGTGTATATAAAGTTTGTGTTGTGAAATAAAAGTATGTTAAACAGAAAACTGTTGGAATCTGGCTAATCTGGTTCACAAGTATTACACTCACTCCCCCTTTTCATTTTCCATGTGAACAGAGTTTGACTTGCATGACTGGAAATGAAATTTGAGACACCAGACTCTCTCGAGCTTTTCTCTAATAGCACCAACCAGTAACTTGTTCATCATCACTTCCTTAACAGATGGCACTTATGCAGCGTCTGCAGTCTCCTCAGGGAGACAAACTTGTATCAGACAGATAATTCGAGTTGTACTTCCTTCCCTACATACCCACCCGTTCATGTGAGAGCGCGCCGAGGTCTGAGCAGCTTTCTCCACTTGTGTAATGCTACAGAAAAAAGTAAGATACCGCATTTGCTGAGCTGACTGGGTTCAATGGGGAGTTTTTTTTTTCAGAAGTAACTAAAATACCATTTTCTTGCTATTCTTTTGTCTTACTAAAGTAACACTTGCTTTCAAAACCATGTGCCCATGGAGGGGAAGGAGGGGCGGGGAAGACGACAGCGAAACGGCTAAACAGCAGTCACGGTAACTATTTCTGTTCCTGCTGCCATCAGCATACATAAAACTCCTAAGCATTCGTGTGAGCTGTCTGATCTGGAAAATGCCTGTGTTGTGATTTAAAAACAAAGCTGTTGGGAGTTGGTTTACTGTGCCTAAAAGGAGAGCAGGGATGCCTGTGTTCAAATGTTGTTTCTGCTCCTTCCAAGACAGCGAAGAGGACCCCCAAAGACATGTAGGTTCTCCCAAAGAATGAGAGAGAATCTCCCTATTCTCTCCCATTCTTTGGGACAAACTGTTCGGGACAAACTGTTCCTATTTCCAGCTTGTATCTAACGCAGAGAGTGTGGAACAGCCCTGATGTTGTGGTCCCGAGACCACGTTTGAGTCAGGCGTGTGTGGTAGCTCTGTTCTTGTCTCCAGGCCAGGCCGCTCGGAATACAGCTAATGAAAATCATCCTTTCTCCCGAATCTGCAGACTTCTAGTCTAGCATTAATCCCTTCCTACGAGATTGCTGTTCCCTCAAGGGTCTCTCAGGTAACAAGGATTTCTTCAGTAGGCTCGGTGGGTTCTCGCAGAGGTTTTGCTTTGTCAACCTGTAACAGAAGCTGATTCAAGTAATTCAACCAGCTTCAGAGCGTAGTCTGTTCTGTTGTGAACGCGCCGTAAAAAAACCGCTGTGCTTGTACCCTGCCTAGCCGTAACCAGCGTCGAGCTGCCACAACCCAGCTGAGCTGATCTAGCAGTTTGCTGCGGCTGACCGGGGAACTTCTGCTGCTTCTCCAGCATCGGCTTTGACGCTTGTCTGGCTCCTCAGTGAGCTAGTTCAGTTTGTTACCCCGACAGAAAATTTAGCCCTGAAAACTGAATGAATTGCTCACAGTTGTTTCCAGCTTATTCCCTGGGTTGGGCAGGTCGCGCCGCACCGCTCGCAGCGCGCTCTCGGTCTGGGCACGACCCTTTCCGTAGGGACAGCTTTGACGAGCTTTCGGCAGCCTTTTCCAGCGTGGTCGAGCTCTGTGGTCAAGCATCAGTGTTTTTTACATGCCAGTGATTTTGAGTTTCCCTTTTCTCAGCTCTTGCAGCGCGTTTAGGGCGAAGGAGCCTTTCTTCGCAGGCGCAGCGTCTGAAGGCCTGCGGTGTTCTTTCCTCTTGGTGTTTTAACGGCCGTTGCAGGCTGCGCGGCCCGGCCACGCCTCGGCGCCTGGGTCACG